GTAGTAGGAGTAGGAGTAGGAGTAGGAGTAGGAGTAGGAGTAGGAGCAGGAGGAGTAGGAGTAGGAGTAGGAGTAGGAGTAGGAGTAGGAGTAGGAGTAGGAGTAGGAGTAGGGGTAGGGGTAGGAGTGGCAGTAGGAGTCGGAGTAGGAGTAGGAGTAGTAGTCGTCGTCGTCGTCGGAATAGTAGTAGTTTTGTCACCCACTTGGCATAGTAGAAGTAGTAGTAGTAGTAGTAGCAGCAGCAGCAGCAGCAGCTGGTCGAATCCACTTGAATCTCCTCTGCAAAGTCTCCCGAAAACAAGCCGGGTGTGGGATGAGTGGATCTGCTGCACCGTAGCTGCACCCGATGGCACGAAACCCTGGTTCCTCCAAGAGCCCACACTGCTCTCCTTCTCACGGTCCGGTACCCCGGGAGCAAAACCGCATCGCGCGTCTTTTAGCAGCACTGCATCACAACTCAACGCTGCTGCAAAGCTCTGACGAATATTGTCAATGAGCTTGTGTCTCACACACCCGCCCACTTCATTAACAAACCGCCCAGCCAGAATCGGAGGGCTGCCCGATTCACTTCGAATGAACCGCTCTGTCCGGAAATTCACAAGTGCAGAATTGGCCCCCTGTACAAATGGGACTTTAAAATCAAGTTTCGCAGCACGCCGACGAAGCGGGCACCGCGATTCCGAGGAGAAACGTTCCAATGTCCAAGCTTTAAAGTAGGATGTTTGTGACTGAACGGGAGATGTCCAGCACACTCATGTCAAATCCAATGTCAAGGTGTTTCAGGCTCTAAGCTGAATCTGAACAGTGAGCCATCGTCGACCATGACCTTGGCTGCCACTGCCCGGACTGGTGTGAGAATTGTGACGATTCCGAGCACTTCCGCCTTGCTGATGCGAGGCCGGCCTTCCCCAATTTTTAACCGAGCAGGAAGGATAGCACCGGCATCAATAGTTCTTGATTCTTTGCGCCCGTGTTGCTGAAGACCACATCTTGAAGCTGCGTTGCGCGACCCATTCGTAAAGTCCCCGCCGACCGCTCGGAGAATAAACGTTGTACATGACAAACCGTATTCGGCGTAGACCGAGGGGTGACATCGGCAACATGAAGTACTGAGTCCGACACGACTTCGAGAGCGTGCTTGGCCATCAAAGAGCTTCAGATGGCTGCGCTCGAAGGACCTCACCAGGCAAGGCTGGCTCTCCACCATCGAACTCCGTAAGCGGCCTGCCCCTCGATGCAAGACCAAGAGCACACAGACCCACACACCCCCGCCTGCGACCAAGGAACGTCCGAGAAGCGACTGAAAACAATCAAACCTATCGAAGCATTGATGTGTACCCAACCTTCAGCAAACCGTGACCATTTGGCTGCCCTCGAGATCCGCAACAGATCATCCACACAATGCCCTTGCCTGTCTTGCTGCGACTCCGAGGTCTGATGCCCCACGGCAGATGCCTCGCCAAAAGTCTTTGAAAAACGTTCGAGGAGGCTCAATCCGCCGAAGAAGGCGGGGCCGCATGGCATGGAAGGGGGGGAGGGTACGACATCTGCGACATCCCGTGAGAGCCAGGCTTAGCCGCAGAAGAAGCATCGCCACCTCGGTTTCTCTGCGAGACCGTGTGAATTAAACCGCTGCCCATGGCCGGCGCTTTCGACACGGTCAGACAAGGACGAAGATCTCCAAAACCCGCTGAAACCGCTCCGTTAGTGTCCGAGTCCACAACACGCATCAGCGGTGTCAAAGACGGGGCGCTGTGAACCTTAGGAGCGACAGTCGCGCACCCTCTCTGAAACTCCGAGAAGCCCAGGCTTGGGATTCGGCGCGCTGTGCAATGACCACCAGAGCTAAACGGAAGCACGAGGCTGACCTTGCGAAGCAGCGGGATCTTACCAGGCATTCACGGGTTTTCTGTGCGGTGATATGTTTATACCAATGCATGGCTGTATTACCCTTTTCGGCTTGTGGTGGCAGATCTCTTGTAAGCGCAAGCCAGTTCTGGCAGCAGCCAACGTGCAGGTCTACCTTCACTCATGCAGCGTGCAATACACCTCGTCCGGTTGTTGCCTGATGGAATTAGAAAATATTCGAGGGCGATTACCGGCCCAAGCCTAATCGCTTCCCCCTTTGATTAAATACCCCCCTAATAATAAAACACATTGGACCCCATCCTCCCGAAATCACCCCTGCCCTTTAAAACCTATTCTGAATTAGGGGGGGAGGTTAGGGCAAAGGTTGAGGGTTTATGGTGAGCCTCCCTGGTTGCCAGCTGTCGGTCTTCTCTCAGCTGCGACAGCCCGTCTGCAGCTCGGTCTGAGAGAGTGGCTGTCCGAAGCCTGCCTCACACTTTCCTAAATCTGCAGGCCTGACTGCTTGTCTGTCTGAAGGGACTAAGTCAGGTTTGACAGGCCCTCGCTGAACCTGCTTGTGCGGAGCGGCCGTAATTGTACCCAAATCTGACAGTAGAGATCAAAATACTCCCGTAATAATGAAACACTTTCCGAGTATCTTTTGGGGGGCGGCCCGTTGAATATGAGGGGGTAGGGATTAATCGTGGCGACGACCTTCATATTATGGCTACTCGCCTTCACATTGCAACGCAGGACAAGCACGTCAGGAAAGTCCACGCTAGTCTAGCATTCAAGCCATCACATCTCGGAGAAGCGAACTGAGAGGTCTGCATCTTGCCCTCCTTCGTTCCCCGAAGGATGCTGGTTTGGTACTGGACACACCCGGTGAAGATTCGCTGCAAGCACCTCACCCAGGCGCGAGCCAGCTGGCGTCACCGTCAACAGCGCCCACGTCCGGTAATTAGGCATCGAGCTGGTGGCTGAGTTCCGCTGACATGTCTGACCTTGGAGCTGGCTACGCGCATTTTCCCCGAAAACAGCATTTGGTCCAAGGCCCGAGCTCTGCAGCAAAGCGCTGCATCGACTGTGCATTCCAGTACCCTTTCCTGCAAGCAAGTCCGATATATAGTCATCCGCATAAGCCTCTACAGTGGCAGACCTGTCATTTGTCATGCCTGTGAGGAGGCAGTCCCCCCACAACACTCTGTAGCCAACTGAAGCTGCCTATACGGCTCTCGAGGCGCAGGGCCGGCAAGGGCATAGCCTTCACTTTCACTGATACAGCATCCTGCATATCTCCAACGCGAAGATGGAAGCGAAATCCAAGCATCCGGCGCGCAAATACAATGTCCAGACCTCAGATTAGAAGCGAACGAAGCAGCACGACAAAGTTTCGGAACAGTCGGACTGCCTCGCTGGCCAGATCGGAGCAAGGCCTGAGCTGTGGCAATGTCTTTCCGGACGTCAAACTGGACAAGTGTTCAAACATGCGGTGTTGTGTACCGTGTCTGCATTGTTGCCACATGAGGTCATTGCGGACACCTCTGGCTGCCGCAGAATTTCTGCCCCAAACCTCATGACTCAAACCAGACACCGCCAAGTGCAAAAACATGCGAGAACTATCTTCCAACCTTGCCGGCTGCGAGAATTCAGGGAAAGGGGACCGTTGCACTTGAACACAAGCATTTCTTAACAACTTGCTCTGAGCAGTGCCAGGAGCTGTCTTGTCCGCCCAAATGGGTAATTGGCCAAGGACGTGTAACCCCGCACTACGAACAGCAGGAGAGAACGGGTGCTTGCCATAAGAAGGAGTCTCGCGCAAGCTCTGTGATGTTCGTCAATGCCTTCTTCTAGGCTGCTGGCAGAACGTCCTGCTCACTGATGCCGAGTGCTTCGGCCAATGGGACCAGAGCCCACTCACAGAACCTCGCACGCTCCAAGGCAAAATCGAGATAGAAGAGGCTGCAGTGCCTTGAACTGACTGGACGGCCTACTATTATTGACAAAGCCGCATGGAGACAGTTCCCTAGCCTAGTATTTCTACTTCCTACAAGTAATGCTGACTGTCACTCATATCAACGGACTGTCATATCCGGGATGTCATGATCCGAACTTCGCCCGAACCTTTGAAAGAAACGAAGTCCTGAGAGAAACAGCATGCCCTGCAAGTCCTGCAACTAGCCATTGGCTTTTGCTCCGCCAACCGCCGCAACGTCTTAAGCACCATCTGTCCCGGGAAGCCACACACCACGTCAGCTCAAGAGCCACTACACGTAAAGCCATCAAACCACTACACTTTCCTCTTTTGGGGGTCTTCGGAGCCTCCGGCGTAGTGCGGGGGTCGAGTTAGCCGTGAACCCCATTCAGCTCAATGCAGTGTGCCCATCTACGCATTCAGGGTTTTGAGCGCTCGAAGCACTTGCCCAGATGCCAATGTTTTCAAGCCTGTTCAAGCTCGAGCTTCAGCAGTCCAGGGCTGCGCGAAAGCGAGAAGGAAACACGAAAATCGGGCTCCAGGCCAATTCAGCGTCTCCGCTGAAGTGCAAGGATGCAACGGCGCATCCTCGTCTACGCCTTTGGCTGGGCTGGCAAATCATGATTAGCCTCTCAACACTTTCCAGCCTGCAAGGCAACCCGGCCCCGCGCGTACGGGCTTGGGGCTACGAGGAACTCGCAACATGCTGCCAGGAATTTGCGGAGGTGTGTGCAACGTGGCCTGCAGCCATACATTGCTGCGCAGCGCTGGCTAGGGCCCTGGCTGCCAATCACTTGACATGATCTTAAAATTGCAATCGGCAACTCGGCTAGATGCGGCTAGATGCATGATTTCAGGAGTGTGCTACGGGCCTGAACCAGCCATCTTTGGTCATGTGCACCTGCAGGTCAGGAATCAGGAACTTGCACAGGAAATTGACAGCACCATTCTGGTAAGGAGATGAGATGAGGACACTGCGAGGCATGCTCCATGCTGCGTGCCGCAACTTTTTTAGCTGGGCTCAAAACATCTTAAGAAAGACCGCCCGACTTGGACAAAATGCCGCTCAGTTCATCAAGGCCGTTGCATTTGCCGTTGTTTCTTCACAAAGCATGCGAAAGTGTATACACTTCGAAACCAAAGACAGAGCTCTTGCCATGTTCCATCAAGAGTTGATGTCTTTATCGCCTCGACAGACCTTGTTCCAACTGGGTACGGCACATGATCATTGTAAATTTTTTGTCAATCACACAGGACTTCGAGTCGGATGTTGCCCTCAGAAATATTTCACATCTCCCGTCACGACCACTTCCACGGATCGTTTAGCTTTGCGTTGATCTATAGAATCTACTCTCTCTTTGGAGCCTTGCAACAAGTCAAAACTTTCAACGTCGAGTTCCTCCGAGCATTCCTCCATCAAAACTTCATTTCCTGGAGCCAACCAGGACACCTGTGCATGCCTGCTAGGTTGAACTTCAAGGAATTCAGAAAGACAAGGCTCTTGAATTGAATTTCATATGCGTTCCCGCCTCTCGTTGACCCGAAGCCTGCACATACAGAAGGTCGGCCGTTGCACGCGTCCTGAGGAGAGAGTTAACCCTACCAAGCTTCAGATGTCAGTAGTCAGGATTTCTCACAGTTTCTGAGATCCAGGCATCACGGGACTTGGGCAGAGACTGAGTGGCAGCCTTCGTTTGAACGGAGGCACATCTGGTTTGTTGTGCACCTGCCTTCCATCAACTTGCAATAATGTTCTTCCTGCGTAGCCTCTAGCCTCTATAGGCAGCGTCTTGGCTCCATGTCACACATCCTCCCGTGACCTCTGAAAAGAGACGAACTTGATGGCTTGGGCCCCTGCTTGCCATGTTCCGTCGCAGCAGCTTCTGCGCTGTCGCCAAAGCCAGGTGTAAAGAAGTTCGAATGCAAGAAAGTCTTGCTTCCCTGCCGTTCAGGCAGCGCAGCATTTATGCAAGAACTCCTTTACCAATTTGCCCACTCAGCACGGCCATGCTGCCTTCCAAGACACCGTTCGCAGGGAGGTGGCTGACGACGAGCGCCGCATCTGATGCACAGCGTTCCAGCACTGCCTACCGCAATACTCGAGACTCAGGAGCACACGAAAAGTCCCGGTGGCGTTCGGCCTGCAGAAGTGCACGTGGCATTGAAGGTGTCTCGACTCGATGGCGGCGCCAAATCGACGACTAGGGACACGGAGGACAAGTCAGGGCTTGACGGTCGAGTCTCTGCGACTCGACTGGCGTGGAGCTCGGGGTCCTCCTGAGCAACATTGGCAAGCAAAGCCAGGCAATTGGGTCTCAAAGACTTGGATGCTGACGCGGTGTCCGGGACACCGTCACCTCAGCACGAGGACACGTGCTTCGAGACAGTCGGCACACAGCACACCGGGGTTTGTAGCCAAGTGGCCCGAACTCAAGATGCTGCAATCCCTTAAGAAGCTGCGGAACCTGTGCAAGATCGTGCGAGGTTGCTGCCACAACAGCCGATCAGAGAGCACTTCTGTACCCGTTATGGATCAGCACGGTTTATCGACCTTGGCTTGACGGGGTGTGTTCCCAGGCAGGTATGGTCACCCAGAACGCAGTGACGTAACAGCCTCGCTCGCTAACGTCGAAAACTCCGGCTTGAGAGGGCCGTTGATGGCGAAGCCAGGAGAACTTCAATCATTGCGCAGGCAGAGCAGAACTGGTCTCTTCTATGGACCAGTACAGGGAGAATTCCGCAAAAGCTGGGTTGTGGGATGGCTCGCGCCTGCGAGACGCTGCACATCTCAAGAGCCTTGCTCCACGGACTTGACTATCTTGCCAGTCTGCGAAGATCCCCACCGCAGTTTCAACTCCGAGTCCCTGAGCTACATCCCGGAAACAGCACAGGAGATTGGGGTGAAATGCCAACGTGCTGTCTTCTCAGGGCAGACCTTCGAGCCGCTTCTTGTCACAAGCCGACACGTAGCGTCCTTGCACTTGATGCTCCGATGCTTTCAGCGACAGTGCCGACAACTGGCGAGTTCAACCGCAAAGCACAGCTTGTGGCAAGTACGACAGTCAACCAAGGGTGCGAAGGTCGACACAGAAAAAGGAACGCCGTCAAGCTTTGAGCCAGAACCCACAATCACCGTCCAATGAAGCTCACAACCGGCTTGGAGCTTGTTCAAACTTCGAGATTACCTGTAGTCTTACCCTTTCGCCGGCTCTGTGGTCAGCATATGTATTGAATGTATTGTTACGTTTCGGAATGATTGGACGAAATCCGTGAAGCGAGAAGCGAATGGTTCTACTGGTTCTGATAAAAGGAGAACATATAAACACTGTTGGAGGGCAGCTTCTCTTGGAGAATACGACAAAAGTCGATAAGTTGAGATGTTCCAAACCGGGCCTTGTGCCGCTCAGGCCTACGCCACCAGGAGCTGTGCAATCGCCACCGGCCTTTGCGCACACAGCACGGCTGCAAGCTCGCTGGGCCAAAGGCGCGCCAAGGCACATAATGGAGGAAGACTCGTCCTTCTGACGTGATACGCGCACTCGCAACCAGCCAAGCCCTTCAAGCTGAAATGCACAGACAACGGTCCAGCTAATCGCCGAAGATGCGGCAAAAACTCTGGAGGCCCCGCAGCAGCCTGCACAGCTTGAACGACGCAGTTGCTCATTTCTCATGATCGCGATCGTGAAGACAGCCCTCGGCATGCAAGTCTGGGTGGGGGTAGACAGTATTCAGTCTTCTCTACTGCTTGCTGGCTCTTGCATTAAATAAATATCCTCTGCCTCTCGCTGGTGAGCCCATTGAGCCCACTCGTCCGGCTCGCACTGCCTTACAACAACAAACATAGCGAGCGGCTTGCGCGATCCGAATGCAGCCCGCGACGACACCTCGTCAGCATCGGTACCGCAAGGGTAGGCTCGGCCTCTTTTAGGGAACACCGAGAGGACCTTTTTTTCACTGGCTTTCAGAACCGCCAGGCCTCGGGTTCGACGATGCCTTTATCGCAGGGCTCAGCTCCTACAAGGTTACGAGTGATTCATGCAGGTCAAAGCTCGCACTCCGAGGGCCACAAATTGCTCTGTGATCTTTGCCTGCGCCTAAGCATCCTCGAGCGTCCCCTCCTTGCTGCTCGCATACAGTTACCGGAGAAAACCTTCAGCAAGCTATGAGAACACGGGGAAGCACGAGTCAGTCCCGCCTCGGCATTGCGCTCTCGTCTCCAGCCAGAATCTTGCTTTGACCTAGGGAGCAAGGCCCACAGCTGCTTTGCTGGTTGTCGTTTGCGGATTCTTTAACCTAGCCAACACGCCAAGAAACCAATGTCTGCTTCCGGAGAGAGCGCAAAGTTGAGGTCGTCGGTCTTGCCTTTATCCAGCGGTGCCCCGGCCTGCTCGGCATGCTCGCTGGCGTGATCCGACTCCACCGGAGGGATGACGTCGAATGCATCGGGCAGTGTGCACTTGCCTTGGACCTCAACATTACATTCTGCCGTTTTGGAAGCAGGCACATCAGTGAACGGTTGATGGACTTCTGCATCAACCACCGAAGAACTGGGCTGCTCGTCTGAGGCATCTTCTCCCACTGCGGCAGTGTGCTGCTCAGTCGTGGGACCCCCCTCCACTAAATTCACATCCTGCACCTCCGCTGCTGTGCCCGAACCAAGAACTGCCACCTTCCGCAAGACTGTCTCCTCATTATCTTCCGAGACCTCGTCCCTACCACTCTGAGCTTCTGCAGCTTCGCCAACGATTGTGCCAAAGCCAGTTTCGATGTGAGCGCCAGGCATGGTAGCGTTTGAACCGTCAATTCGTGCACAGGCAGGCCTTGCAGCTTGCATCAAATCTTCCGGATCCACTGGATCCTGTTGCTCGACCTGTCGCACAGTTTCTTGCTCTGCGACACGGTCTGGAGGCTGCCCATCGGCAACATATCCACTCCTGGGTGCTTGCGGGAACACACAGTCACGGGGACATTCCAAGATTGTATCTTGCTTTTGGTGCCTGTCGTACCTACTTTGTCAGCAATGTCAAGTCCGAACGGCACAGAGGCCAAGAAATGCGCTTTACGGGGTTACGTGGCTCGCCGCACGCATGCGGTTAATCATTGATGCTGTTGGATTATGTTGGATTGCACAGACGACACGATCGCCTTGGATAACTTCAGGTCACCATCTCGCACCGAGCAGCACAGTGGAGTCAGCAGCAGCCACTCCCTCAAGGGATACAAGGGATCACGAGGTCTTGGTGCACATGACAAAGCGTGAACTGGCGCTTGCCTCGCGAGCGCCCAACCTCACCCTGCGGTGAAGATTCTCGCGCCTGCGAGAATGAAGCAGCCGCAAACTAAACAGGCGATGTGTGTGGTTGGCTACAGCCCAGAACCCCATTCAGCTAGGGCCGCTAGGGTCGCTGCGCGAGGGCCTGTGCCCGACCTTAGGCAGCAACAACTAGCGACCTCTATCTCGAAATCAGTCGGGCCATGTCTTTCTCAAGTTCTTTCTCTGTGCTGGAGCTGCGTCTCACTGCCGGGAGAACCGGTTTGGGGGGCCATGGAGTCACCCTGGCTGTCATCATCCACGTTTTTCATGTCACTCTTCAGAGCCGGACGACAGCATGAAAGCTTCAGGATCCTCAAAGGAACTGACCTTTGCAAGACGGCCTCACCAACAAAGCAAAGCCCACCGATGGATGCCAAAAACCACAACGCACCTGCTAAGCATTCTGTCTTTGTTCCCTGCAACTCGAGATTTTTTCACTGAAAATGTATGCTGCAGTGCCACATTGGCCATGCACGTCTTCGGGCGCGCTATACCGCGTGGTCGTTTGCGCCTGACCTGTATGTACATATCGCGAATGCCGTCTGATGGTAACCAGCACTGTCCAAGAAGCTTGCATGATGCAAGCTCCAACATCGGGTGAAACTTTAGCATGGAAGAGAAGCCGGCATCGAAAAAGAGTACAGTACCTGTAGCACTCCGCCTGAAATCTCTGGCTGTCCACGGATTGCATAACAAGGCTGGCTTCTTTGGTTCATTAACGCAGGAGGCAGCCTGCCTTGCATCTGCCCGGGCTGCCCTGGCAGTGGTTGGAAAACGCGAAGGCTGAATGGATCCCCTGTCTACTGCACCCTATGATCGACACGCCGAAGAAGTCCACAGCCACACTCGGCATTCCCCGCAGCACTCCTGGCTGCCTGCTCGACTTAGTCGAGATCGTAAGACACCAAGGTGTGGGGCTCTTTGGAATCTTGATCCAAAATGTGCAGAACACGAGGGTCATGCACGCTCAGAAATTCAAGACTCGGCGGCTTTGGTGCCGTTTTGGGTGGTGCCTTTGGCTTTTTGCTTGCAAAGATTTCATCGTCGGAGCTTACGATGTCATCCATCTGCCGGACTTCAGGGCCTCGCCTTACGGAATCGTCCGTCGTGCTCGTTGCCAAGCTGCGCAAACTCTTTGAGGGCGTCAATGTCGGTTGAGGGCCCATTCGTTTCAGCTTCGGCTTCTTTCGGGTGAGCCGGGAGTGGTTGAGAACGAGGTTGTATAAGGCCAGCAGAGCATCCTTTGGTCCGGGAAGGTTCTCCTGCCTGGCCCTGTTCTCCGACAGCCGCTGGATCTGGGAACGGGTTTGCGACACTTCCATCACCTCTCCACCGAGCTTGGATCGCTGCTGCTGCATGGAGCTGATGTCGTCGATCTTTACGGCCCACGGGTTGGGTGCCTCATCCTGTTCTCTCATTTTGCGCCCTATCAGTTTTTTCACCCCCAGACAGATCGCGGCAAAGAAAAGCAGCGGAAGAGGAATGGCTAGCAAGTAGGCCACACCCTGGTCGCCTTCCCGGGGAGGATTGTCCTCTGGCCGGGTCACATACTGAAACTCTTTGCTATCACCAATCCGCAAAACACCGCCAGGAATGTTGAAAGGGCCATCTTCAGAACAGGTTCCGTTGAACGCGTACGGCGCATGGCACCAGCACAGCGTGTAGACCCCGGGGTCGGCCCGCACCAAGCCGCCTCCCCAGGAAAACCGCCTCCCACCCTCCGTTGCAGGCAGGGACGCTGCATTGTTCGGAAAATTTGCAAGTCGCAGTTCCGGCCCGGCTGTGTAGCAATCAGTGCCATCGGGAACCACGAGCAGACGATCTCCGTTTGACAGGGAACGTCCTTCCAACTCCTCAATGACACAAGGCTCCCACTCAAAGCAACGGTAAGTCACTGAGTCCTCCGGCCCCCCGATTTCCAATCGGCCCAACGTAGTCACATAATCGCGGCCATTCAAGCAGATTTGTTCAGCTGCGCACCAGCAAACTTGGTACAGACCGGCTCTTTGAGCAGCAGGCAACGTGAAAGTCCCTCCATCGTCAAAGGTTGTCAGCGACACCGAGCCATCTCGGAAGTTCTCCGCGTCGGTGACAGCTTCCCCGCACTTCACAAGGATCATGACAGTGTCTCTGTTGTTAAGCCCTTCTCCAGAAATACCGGTAATATTGCACACGGATGCGAGCGGGCAAAAGAACCGGGTCGGGGATGCCGTCGGTGCCTTCACTTGCAGGACCCCAGCATAGCTCTCGAAACTCTGGTAACCTTCGCAGTTGCTAATGACAGAGCACCAACACAAATAGTACTTGCGTGGGTGTGCCATGACACGCTCTGCACCCCATACATAGGTTGTGCCCTCCACGGACGGCAATGATATCCCTTGTCGAGGGAATCCCTCTGCTGCTGGGCCTGCACAGGCACCAGCAGCAACCATGAGTCGACTGGTCGGCGGCTGCGTCCCTTGCAGATTGCTCAGCTCGCACTGCCGTTGGCGCACGCATGTGAACATCTGCGCTGCAAAGGGCAAAACACCGGGACCGGAAACTTCGACTAAACCCACCGGTGCAAGGAAGTCCCGCGGCGACTCGCATCCATCCACAGTAGCCTCGGCACCACACCAACACAAAATGTAGGTTCCGGCGAATGCCCAGATCGGTCCACCCCATGTGAAATATCCAGGAGTGGCGTGTGGCACGGTCATGCCAAAGTTTGGGAAGCCGTAGGCCCCACGATTGCTGGTGTTGAAACCCGAGGAACCATGAACACCACTCATCTGCACCCCGGAAGGCTGAATGCCGAATGCCTCAAGCTCCTGGGGTGAAAAGCCTTCAGAGACCGCCCAGCCTGCACTAACCCAGGGATCCGATAGACTCGCTGCTCCGTCACTCCAGCCAGCCGGTGGGCGCGAGGCCTCTCCGCAGCGGCTGGCGGCCACCAAGCGATCGCTCCCCTGGAGTCCGAATCCCTTCAGGGCGCAAGCGGCTTGCAACACAGACATCTGCACAGAAGACACATGAAAAGTTCGGCTTGGCTTGGTAACAGATTGGTTTGCATGCACCTTGTGGGTTTGTCTGTTTGCGGGATCACTTACCAACCAGGAAAACTTTCTGCGACTTCTACGAACTCACCCAAAGCCCTGACGTCCAAGTGTGCCCTTGCCTGAACCAACGGCGTCACACACTCCGAGCCCAATCGGCAGGAGACGGTGCCGAAGGCTTCAGGGCCTATCACAAGTAGCTTTCCTGCTGGTGTCAAAAACTCGCCTCCACCATCTGCTCTGATATCTGGGCATGGCGGAGGAATACTGCCATTGGGTATGCGGTAGTCCTGCCCCGGTGCGATTGACCAGGTACGTGCGGGAGGGCCGCACCAGCACAGGTTGTAGATGCCCCCGGAAATGACTAAAGGCACAGAGCCAGAGCCGAAGACGTATCGGCGTTGGTCTCTTCTGTAGGTCTCAGAAACTCCCAGGTTCGGGAAGTCGGGGATGCCTGGCGGATCGGCCAAGGAGGCGCGTTCCCAGCGGCATCCACGCGGGTCCTCCGGCAACGCCACGAGGCGAGATCCATCTTCCACAGCATGGCCATCAAAGAAACTCAGGACGCACGGCAAGCCAACCCTGCACGACATGTTGGCAGCCATCTGCTGGGAAGATGGCCCTGATATGTGTAGCGCGCCGATACGGACATGAAAATCAGCACCAAGTTTGCAGGCAGACTCCGTGCCATTACACCAACAAAGGTCATAGCTTCGACCAGGAACTATCAAACGCTCCAAACTGAAGTCGAAAGCTCGGCCGCTGCTGTGTCGGCGAACGGAAGCCAATCCTCCGTTTGGGAACCCCGATGCGCCTTGATTCTCTGAAACTGGCAAGTTGTATGTGCACACCTTGTAGGACAAGATCATATTTGGAAAGACAGCGGACGGCTCCTCATCCTCGCAAGTGCCAGCACGCACGTAGCACCAAGCTCCTCGGGGATCCTGCTTGTCCTCAATCCCAACACCACTCACGACAAGAGGATCCTGGGAAATCTCTGAGCAAAAGCCTCCTTTGCGATTTGCATCCACAACGCCTGCGCAACGGCAGCGTCCGGGGCAAGCATCTGCTCGAACGATGAGTTGGTCAGTCTCAGTGAGTCCAACGCCGAGGATATGATCAACACTACAGGCACGACCAGAGACACACTCCCAACCCAACTCATCGAACAGCGGTCCGGGCATGTGAATGCCATACCTTGTCTCGATGACGTCGAATATATTCATTCCCTGCCTGGGTGGCGCAATGGCCCCTGGCGGTGGCGGAGGCCGATAAAACTCTGCATAGCAGTAGATATCATAACGAAACCCAGAGACCAATGGTGCGATTTCCATCGTGACAGTCCCACTTTCACCGTCAAGAAAAAGCACTGTGTTGTATGGCGAGGCTGTTAACTGATCCACGTTTGGAGCCGAAGGTCTCTCCGTGGTTGGCCTCAAAGCCCATGGAAGCGCATCGCAAAAAAGATGAGCCGGACTCTTGCTGAGGCTAACTGTGAGAGAGATGGAATTGTAATCGAGCAAGGCAGATCGAATGATTGCGATGGGGTAAGGCGTTATAATCAAATCTGCATCTGTCTCGTTTCGAAAATCGTCATATCTCGCAGTGCACCAAACCTCATGGGAACTGTTCTTGTCCAACCCGTCAAACTCCAACTGGGCATCTTGCTGCAAATCGAAAACTTTGGCGCGAAGTCCAATTCTCTCAAGTTCGTCAACCTCGGGAACACCATATAAGATCATGTTCTCCTGCGGGAACACTTGGCACCACATATAGCCAAGCCGTGTGACTTGACTGCTCACTGTCATCGCGTCGAAGAGCTCATTGGCCAATGACTCCTGGCGCGTGATTTCCATGCTGTTGATGGTGACCTGCAGCTCACACAAGCTCCGGTTGCTGTAAGCAGGTTTCTGAACTGTCCGCCTGTCAACGCTCGAATTTTCCCTGTAAAGCCGAAGGACTATGTCGCAAGCCCTTTTGACGACTACTTCGGCGAGTATTATATAACTACAATGCTCCTGGCTCCCTCGTCTCCTGCTCTTCCTGTTGCTCGGTCTCCTTCTCCTGCCCTGCCCCAGCCATCCTCGATGCCCCCATCAGGCAAGTGTAGGATGTATAGCTGTCCTATTGGCATTCAGGGTTGAGAACGCTTCGCTCGCAGTCTGTGGATGTAGCCCTGTTTGCTTAGCGGGGGCACAGCTTGTCAGAGTCCCCACCCTCAAAGACAAGTGTAAACACGTCTTCTGACGGCTTCCGTTTCGAGGGTCGGGACATCTGCGCGCCTCAAGAATTTTGGCAACAGTGGTTCCAGGGCATGATCTGGGACTTGCGAATGCTGATTTGTGGCCATTGGGCTGAACAGCTTGCGCGGCTACTCAATTTCGGTATCTCTTCCAGTTCTGGCCTTGCTGTCGCTGCCTCTACTAGCTTCTGGCGCTTTGTCCCAGGTATGGGGGTCAGCAGTTCGGCAAATGTTCAAGTTCATTCACTTCTAGCTCCGCAGCTTCTGATCGGGCCACTTGGGGTTTGAGCTGAGACCGCGACCTCCGTAGATGAGGTGTTTAGCAGTCGGCGGGTGGAGTCGATCTGATCCTGCACGCTCAGGAGGCCCCCATCCGCCTCTGCGACGCAGGTGATCTGGTATTGCATCTCTGGGCTCAAGCCTGTGATGATCACGGCAAGGGTCTGACCTCCAACCGTTGCCAGGT